AACTTGCACAGTGTGAAAGAGCCATCACTGGCCAAATGTCAAAGAAGAAATGTCCTATAACTTAAGTGTGGTTTTCACCAGACTTCTTATGTGCATGGCATTACAACATTGCTCAGTGGTGTGCCAAGTAAGAAAATAGGTTTTTCTCAGGTGTGGAATTAACACAACGTGGTCAGACTTTTTATGTTCCATGTTTAGTGAAACTTCTCAATGATTTGGACACCTAAAGGCAGAGGGAACCTAATAAGGAGGGTATTATTGCATTTTGTGGCTTGGGTGATATAATAATTTCTGGAACCCTTTCCAAATAGTATCCACTCACTGATCTGTTTTTAGATTAGTGGTTACATCACATGATTGTTGATGAGAGCTCTTTCACATCACCCATTTTAGTCAATATTTTCTGCACATCCTATCCATGCCTGTTTCTATTTGCAGGCATGGAACCTAATAAGTCTGAACCTGTGCACTCATCTGCCTCAATCTTTCCAAACAATAGTAGCTGTCACTTGGAAAGACTTAGTGATGTGAAAAAAAGCAATAACATAACTGCTGCTAATAACCCGGCATGTAGTTTTGAGAAAAGAGGAGTCTGTGGAACCTGTAGAAGAATACATGATAAAATGGGACATAATATCTATATGGAAATATGCATGGGTTGTGATTCAAAGATGTAAAATTCATTTTGTGCATTTTGTGCAGTAATTTAAAAGCAAACCTATGTAAGGATGCATACCAGGCTTGTGCACAGATTCAGATTGGCTTATGCCCTTTGGCCAATCCGTGTTGTTTGGCTTGTCCAGATGGCCATAATGGCAAGGGCCCAGCCATCTTGTTTCCTATCTATAACATGACCATGTGGCAGCCGATCACTGCTCCTCATCCCCTATTTGGTATCACAGTTGCATCCTGGCTTCAGTGTATTTTTTGACTTGGCTTCTGGTTTGGCCTCTCTCTTGAATCTTTTTTATTTTATTTTATTTTCTTGATCCTTTTTATTTGGTGGGACTGACTGGGAATTGGGAATGTGCGAATGCGTGCGCATATTTTTGGGGGCTTGGAGAATTACCCTTTTAGCGTCTTTTTCTCCTCCCTTCATCTCTTTCAGAAAATACTTCTGACAGATTATTATTATTATTATTATTATTATTATTATTATTATTATTATTACGAGAGTAGAAAGTAGAAACAGATTTAAGGAAGCATTAAACCTGAAGCAGAAAGACATGGGGAGAGGGGGAGATACAACTTCAGGCAGGGCCTTCAGTGCAAATCAAGAGAAAAGAGAGGGCTTTTTAAAGGAAGCCCTGGGTAGGATAGCTCCAGGTCATCATTCTTCCTTCCCTGAGAAGTGAGAAGCCTCCTTAAAATGCCTTGGAAACCTGTGTGCAGGGAGAGAGTACACGCGCCTGCAGCACCTGTAGCGCCAGTCTTCTCTAGAGTACAAACAGCTTTAACAAAGCATTAAACCCAGGTGTCCTGTACAAACCAAAGGGAAAGGTTTGCAGAAAGAGTGGTGTCTTAACTCTGATGCTTTTTAATCCAAGTCTTAATGAACGATATATGAACAAATGATACCATTGTCTAAAATGACAGGAAGGGGAGCCACCAATGGGCTGGATGTAGCCATATTTTTCAGCTGCAGTACAAAAACAACTATCTGACTACCTGTCCATTTTTGGGAATTGCACAAAAACGGATACAGGGGTCTACTGGTATCTGGCCAGCAGAAACGGATTGAGCTTCAGCCGAAATGCACAAGCCTAATGCATGTGTGGTATCTAATCCTAAATAAACTATCAAAAGCTTTCAGAATGTCCCAGAATCTTTCAAACCAATCTCAAAATAAGGACGGCTCCTTTTTCATATGTGGTAGACTTCTAATAAGATGAAAAGTTACTGGTTTGAGATTGATATGCTAGTCAACAAAAATGTAAAGGTAGATTTTGTTATGTTGCCAGAAATGTCTATGTAGAGCATTATGGATAAAGAACTAGGGAGTAAATATGGGTTACTTCTTCAGTATATGACAACATCAGCAAGAATATTGCTTGTTCAAACGTGGAACTGGACCGAAGCACCAATGATGAAAGAATGTATTGTTATGGTTGCTGAGTTTGAATTGATGTTTATTCCAATAATTCCTCCGTGTGAAAAGACACTCAACTATAAATAGAGAATGAAGGTTTTAGCAAAACAATTATTTCAGAATCCTTTTGGACCAATACTGAAAGGTGCCATGATGTTGCCCTCTTTAGCAGAATGTGTTTTACATGACTCAGACTCCTTGTCAACCATCAAATCCCCTTTGGCCTTATACTCCATAATTAGGCCACAATTTAGGAAAGATTTTTGGACAGTTTGACAGCTGAGAACTGTGATACACAATTAAGAACCAGTCATTTTGGTTAATTTTGCCCGCAGCTTTTTGTTTTGTTTTTTTTGTTTTGTTGGGTTTTTTTTGTTTGTTTTTTTTTTTTTTTGCATTGGCTTTTGCCTTGTACTGTAATTCTGAGATCATAAAAAGCCTGGCCTCCTTTGGGAGCAAAGTGGTGCATAGTCACAATCATTTAAAAACATTGTCTGGCGGATAAATGACAACCATTCAAATTAGTCACAGACTTTTAGCTTCCTTAGAACAGAAGTGGGCATTAGGTTTTTAAAGGGCTTCAACTTTGGGTGGTAGATAGAGCCTTAGGGGGATTGGCACGGCAGTTGACACATTATGAATGTTATCATGTGGTCCCTTTATATCACAGGCATCACCATCACTTTTTCACTGTCTCCGGTACATCTAAGGATTGCCTCTGGTTGTTTTATCAGCAATAGAGTACAGTATATTCTGGCGTATAAGACTACTTTTTAACCCAAGAAAATCTCCTCAAAAGTCAGGGGTCGTCTTATACACGGGTGTAGTCTTATGCATGGGAGTCGTCTTAACTCTGTATTTTAACTGGAAAAGTTGGGGGTCGTCTTATACGCCCAGTCGCCTTATATGCCGGAATATACGGTAATTCTTTTTTGGTTAGGAGAAAACTGGTTACTTTGGTTGTCAAATATTCGTACATCCAGAAGCAGAGGCAATGGAGGCAGATATCCATCCCTCTTTAGCAGACAGTGTGCCTGTTTTACATAAGATAGCCCTCTGTCAGAAGGACTATGAAGTCCAAGTATGACTTAAAGAATTGTAGAAATGAGAGATATTACCCATCAGCAGTCTGCAGGACTTGAACACGAGTATGTACTTGGCATGAAAAGTTTCAGATGTGTTATTTTAGTTATGGTTTTCCCTTCAAAGTACACATCTGTTCAGATACTATGTGAAACGTAATCAAATTTGTGTCCTCTTTTTAGCAATTTTTGTAATATGGAAGATGAACTTGTATCTGCTTTGCTCCTTTACTCCACTCCAACGATAAATCTTCAGGTTGCTGTGAGTTTTCTGGGCTCTATGGCCATGGTCCAGAAGCATTCTCTCCTGATGTTTCACCCACATGGCAGGCATCCTCAGAGGTTGAGGGGTCTGTTGGAAACTAGGGAAGTGAGGTTTATATATCTGTGAAATGTCCAAGGTGGGATAAAGAATTCTTGTCAGCTTGAGGCAAGTATGGATGTTGCAATTGACAAGTAAGATTGTCTTCCAAGAACAATTGACCATCTTGATTAGCATTTAATGGCCTTGCAGCTTCAAAGCCTGGCTGGTTGCTGCCTGGAGGAATCATTTGTTGGGAGGTTTTAGCTGACCCTGATTGATTCTTGACTAGAATTCCCTTGCTTTTTGCGTGTTGCTCTTTATTTACTGTCCTGATTTTAGAGTTTTGTAATATTGGTATTACAATATTGCCTTTGACTATGGGACCTTGGTTTAGCTGAATTGGATTTCATGGTGTTTCATATTTGGGCACTATTTCTTTAGATAGCACGGGTGAAGGCAAGCATGGTACAAGAGTCCGGAAAGAAGTTGTGCTAACAAAATGGAGTAATAGGAGAATCCAGAATGGAACAGCACAAAGGATAAGAGTGCAAGTGATACTTGGTGGAGTCATAACCATCATTGGCAATATTTGATATAGGAAACCAATATGCTGATATAGCTAATGTTCTATAGAGGTAAGTAGGCGGGACTTTGACCAAGAAGACAGGGGCATATTCGGGGTTGCTGTTCAACCAAAAAGGTTAGTACTCGTATAAGGCAAGTTATCCAGTCTGTAAAAGGCTATAATAAAAACAACATGGGATGATCGTTCTTCACCCTTCCTTGATTAGTAGAAAGATGGATGGATAAGTTATCCAAACTTGGAAAAGTTTCCTTTTTGAATCAAAGCTCACAAGATCCCACAGCTAGGATGTGAGTTGTGTTGAGTATGTAAGAAATCAGTTAACATGTGTGTCAACTGTAAAATAAGATGCATTAAGCTGATCGGTCAGGGAGATTGGTGAACCTGGGACTTTTGGTTACTGTTACACTTTTGTTCAGGCTTGAGCTATGCAAGTGCAGAGAGAGGAGGAGAGAAAAGCAGAGAGACAGACTTACTTGCTTCTTGGCTGCTGGAAGAAGGTCTCTCATATGGACAAAGAACAGCCACTTTAAATCTCTCAAAATGACATTTAGTGAGTTGATGCAACTGATCATATTGTACATATGTTGTTCTGAACTAAGAGGAGTAAACTTCTTAATTCTCTACTATTCACCTAGCAAGGCAATGTGTGGGCTGATCAAACATGAACTATACAAGGTTTATTTTACATTACAGCACACGTTGTAATCGACAATAGTAACTTTTCCAGGCTCTGATTATGTGTTGAAATTACAAAGGATCAAAACCTACATTTTTTCAAGGAAGTCTTCCTTTCTGCTGCCTTTTCAACATTCCTCCCCAAAGGATTCTCAAAATGTATGACAGATGGCTTTGACTTGTCCTCTGTTAACAACAAAAGTTTTTCTAACTGTTCACAATCTGTTTTAAAAGTGGCTTGTCGAAGACAAAACAGAAACAGACTGCTTTTGCTAAATTTTTAATTTTGCCCATGTTGCATATTACGACATTGGAGCGGGGGTGGAGAAAGAGAAGGAAACCACAGAGGTTGAAAATATATATATTGTAACAAGATACAGAGTAAAGTACATCTCAGTTTTTAAAACCTCCAACTGCTGAATCATTAAATAAAACTTATAAAGAGCACTTGCAGTTTCTTCATACACATCTGCTTCCTTTGGAATACAAAGAAAATGGTTTCTGATTAATCTTACAAAGATCACAAGCTTGGCCCTCCATCATATTAAATGAAAACCAGTTAAAGTCAAATAATGAACAGGTAGTAGTAGACAATGTTTACTTTTGTATACAATACTGAATCCTTTTCAGTCCTACATTTTGAAGTCTTGCGAGGGATGCTACAGATGCGTCCAATTTCTTCTAGTTCTTCCATTAGAAAAACCCAAAACACACATTTGAATCATACAACTGTTTAGTGCATTATTTCCTGTCCTTTCCCACTGATGCTTAATTGTCTTATTCTAAATTAAGATCCTCATGGAAAATCATGAAATCAAGTATATCTCTTCTCCAAACAAGAACAATCAATTGGGTTTACAACAAAACAGCAAATCTATCAAATGATCCTAAGTGAAAGGCCAGCAGTGTATAATGCTAGATGAAAAGGAAATTGTAGAATGAGTGTTTTACTGGTCTCATAATCTCAATGGTAAATCTTAACTAAGCATCCAAAATGTTCATTACCAATGCATGGACCGTTTTCATATGAAGACTTACAAATTCATTTCAAAGTGAGAACCATCTGAAAAAAATTAGGACCCAAAATATGAATCCATAACCCATGGCAGATCACCTAGCTGAACCATGGTTACATGAAACTGCCAATACAATCAAATGCCGTTAAAATAGCTCAGTTTCAATTATAACATATCATAAAATTACATGGTAGGACTTAGTAAATTCCTAAAAGGACACCTCACTAGGAACCTCTAGGTCTTCTGGAACAACTATATGGTAAATTTCAGGAAAGCATACCACAGAGCAGTGGTTCTCAACCTATGGGCCCCCAGATGTTTTGGCCTACAACTCCCAGAAATCCCAGCCAGTCTACCAGATGTTAGGTTTTCAGGGAGTTGAAGGACAAAACATTTGGAGACCCACAGGTTGAGAACCACTGCCATAGAATGTTCTGAAGGACCTAGCAAATTTCTAGAGACCATTTTTCCCAGGCATGGGTAAGTACAGACTGGGGTTCCATGGTTACACAGGTCTTACTGTGCATTTAAGCATCTCATTTTTACCTTTTTAGTAAATGCAGAGCCCACTGCCATAAGCAGGATTCTCTGGCACCCTTGCAGTATGAGACATGGAACACGGTAGCAGAAATGCAATGCTGGAGAGAGAGTATGTACAGTAGAGGTGGATGGTATCACAACCCAGGAAAAGATTCTTCATGTCCAGAGCTAAGATCAGCAACACTTGCAATTATATTAAGTAGGGAACTCAACATCATTTCAAGGAGAGGTCTGCACCATAACTTGCCACATCTCACCCCACACCTCAACATTCATTGTTTACAATGCACTTGAAACAATTTACATCCACAACCTAACCTGAGTTTGAATGTAAAGATGTTTGGCATATGGAGAAACCTGCTTGGCCTGATGAGTTTGGTTTCTGCAGCAATATCTTCATGTCACTGTTGTTGAGGCTTTTAGTAAATGCGTATTAATGAGAATCGTGTTATATACAATACTTCATTTCTATTACTTCTCAGTTTTCAAGTTCAGGTTCATCATTTTTAAAAGGTAACATTTAGAAATAATAAAATTCCCTTAGTCTTTGAAAAGCTAAAAATTACAATAGCCAGAGATTTCTGAAAACCGGACTGGATTGTTTACTCGTATTTCCTCATTTAATGGTAGTTCTGCTTTGGGAGATATAAAATTAAAGTGCTCTAAAATGGATACACGTCCAGAATGTGAGGGGGATTGTATCTTCATCTGTAAGATTGAAACAGCTGTAGGCCATTCTGAAGGATCCTCAAAATATCCATCTCTTTTTAAAAAAAACAGAACACAACCAAGAGCAGACATTCCGCCCACTGGTGAAGTACAACTTGCAAACAACGCGGTGTCCTGTGATACAGTAGGCACTTTTTGCAGAAGTTGGCAAAGAGAAGAATTGGTTGTTAAAGCACTGGCATCCGAGGTGCGCCCTCATGTCCTCTCCCTGATGCAGATTAAGTAGATGTTCATACATAACAGGTGGAAAACTTTAAGTTGTTGATGGGACATGTTTCTTTTTCTTGCTTCGGCAGGATTTGCAAACACAGCAGATAATGCATGGTGAGGCTAGGAGCAGTAGGGGTGAGGTCACCAGAGCAATGATGCCCAGGCCTACAAGAATCCCAACAACCTAAAAAAATTAAATACAAAGATGTGATAAGAAATGGGGAAATTGTGGGGGTGCACATGCAAAACATACCGCTAATATAAACATGCGCTTGGGTGATTTCTTGCTGTACCTGTGTTCTGTTCCACATAACAGAGGCACGGGAATGGCCCAGTTTGTTTCGGCAGGGACCTTTGTCGTAATGCCTTAGGAAGATATCATTCTGGAAAGCAGAAGAGTATATGTTGAGTTCTTAATTGATATGACTATGCTGGACAGTCTTAGAATGCCAACCTACAAAAACAGGACATTCCACTACATCTTCCATCACCCTCCTCAAGCACAGTTGGTAGGCACAAGGTTGGGGGAGCCAGTATTATCCAGTATCATAGGGAATGCAGTAGCAATAGAAGACCTTTAGCTTCATGTAGTTACACACTGACATATCAGACCTATAGTATAGATGTCTATATGTGCTTTTGCATGGACAACATAAAATTGAAGCCTACACACACACAATTGATGTGGTGGGAGTTGCCAAAACAGGCTTTTAAATGTAGGATATCAGCCTATGAAACTGAACAATGAAGGAAGATGCATTTGTGGCACAACTCCATTTAATGTGAACCAAAACAAAATGTACCCATAACTTTGGTGCAGTGTGCTAAAGGGAAGGAATTAAAAACTGAGGTGTAACCAGGAAAGAGAGGAAGGAAGGAAGGAAGGAAGGAAGGAAGGAAGGAAGGAAGGAAGGAAGAGAGGGAGAGGGAGAGGGAGAGGGAGAGGGAGAGGGAGAGGGAGAGGGAGAGGGAGAGGGAGAGGGAGAGGGAGAGGGAGAGGGAGAGGGAGAGGGAGAGGGAGAGGGAGAGGGAGAGGGAGAGGGAGAGGGAGAGGGAGAGGGAGAGGGAGAAAATGAATGGGAGCAAAACCAGATATTTTTTGAAAGAGGTGTTGAGGAAGAAAATAATTACAAGATCTGTCTAGATTCTTTATATTTTTCTTCTTCCAGATAGGAGAGGCGAGATGAGTGGATTACGAAGCAGAATTAGAGAGAAGCAGATATTGGCATAGTGGTGAACTCCGTCCAGCTCCGCATCTATATTCATTGACAGTTTGCACATAGAATGACATATAATGATTTCTCATTAGCAGTAATGTAACCAGATATTCAGTGTTCTCTTAACACAATATGACAGCTTTCCCAGCTTCAGAAAGAGTGGGCAGCATGTTGAAGAAAAGAAGAGAACGAAAGAAAGAACACTTTTAAAACCAATGCCCTTCCTCCAAAAAGTATATAAAGTAACAGTGCCAGTATAGCCAGATCAACATATTAGTATAGCTGCATTTTAATAAAGTAATGATATGCTAATTTGTTGCTCTAGCTATACTGACACATCTTGCATCACTCAAATATTAAACTGTGCTTAAACTCATCTGGAGTTAGCAGAACAAGCCAGGTTTTGTAAACCATCAATTTGAAAACAGTTTGTTTCTACTACCTATATTTAAGGTAAGCCATAGTTTGCTGGGTTTAATAATAAACTGGATACACTAAAAATCGAAACCTGCCAGAGAAAGCGGGGGGGGGGGGGGAAACTTGAGTCTTACCTATATTGACTCTTGAAACTGAGATGTTGGCTCAATTAAATGGAAAAAAATGGTTTGGAATTGGCAATGAATCACCTGGTACAATAGATGGGAAACACAATTGGTGGTGACAGACATTACAATGCTTACACTACAAACGAAACAACATTCAGATACAGAGAGGTTTGCTTTAGTAAAGAAACTGTGTCTCTGTTTAGGAAGGGAAGTAAAACCGAATTGCCAAGTGAGTATTGCACAGGAGAGGCCTACTGTCTTGAAGTTTATCAGTGCCTCAGAATAATTTTATTGGGTCCCTGTCAGAGATAGAATGGTTGAATCTTTGGCATAATCCACTCAGTTCTTATGGTCCTTAGCAGTTCACCATAGTTTTGGATTAAATAGTTAAGGAAGCATAAGGCATCAGCCTGTAAAGCCCAACTCTAAAGTCTTTTGTCAGAGGCCACTTACATCCAGATTTTGCAGACAGTACCAGCAAAATGTGTGCTTGCAGTTCTTGCACATCATTTGAGCACAGCCTTCATTCCGTTCTATATGGATGCGACAAATTGGGCACTGCTTAATTGGAGCTTCCGTGTCAGTCTGAATAAGTGCTCTGGAAAAGTAGGAAGGAAAAATACCTGTGAGCAACAGTCGTTTATCTTAAGAGTGCCCTAAATTTTTCATGGCATGCTGTCTATATAATCATAAAATCACAGAGTTGGAAGAGACCACATGGGCCATCTAGTCCAACCCCCTGCCATGCTGGAAAAGCACATTCAAAGTATCCCTGAGAGATGGCCATCCTGCCTCTGTTTAAAAGTTTCCAAGGAAGAAGCTTCCACCACAGGCAGAGAGTTCCACTGTTGAACAGCTCGTATGTTCAGTCATGTATCATGCTGACTGTCCAAGATAAATTTAGGCAATGTCAGGTGTTTTACCCTCCATGCAATGCTATTAAAAACCATGTCTCTTTAGCATAACCTATGCAACAAACAGAAGGGGTAAGACATTTATTCTGAGATTTTAGATTCTGAGGACATGTGCATCAACAAGAAAAACTCCAACTTTTCCATACAATTTGTTTCTTTATATCCAAGGACTGTGCAAAGATGGAATTCACATATTTCTTCAACTGGAGGAATGGATGGTCTATATATCCATTCACACCCCTCCAAGTAGTATCTTGAATGTAAAGCACGTATGTGGAGTTGAATTATGGATTCTTGCTCACTGCTTTCCCATCACACAAATAAAGATTTCAGTAAAAGTTTGTTTATGTGTTGCACGTCTATTTAGATAACAGTTTCCCAACACAAAACCAAAACAGGCAATCATCATAAGAAGTCAACCAGAAGGTACAGCTATAAAGGTACCAAGCAATTCTGCCATAGGGACCAAGAGAAAGTCATAATGGCCAGAAATGCCTATGGAACTGGGCTTTAGGTGTAAGAGTCCAGAAAAGGCAAATCACACTAAATCTACCTGGATATTTCCTCATATTCTAGATAAAAACTTTTCAGATGCCAAGCAACTGATGTAGCCTACACTGTATTTATGACTGCTGGCTACTTTGAGCAGTCCTGACTAAAATAGACCTATTAAATCAATGGGATTTGCCAGATCTTGGCTCACTCATCAACAACTGATTGAAGAAGACTGCTCTAGTTGAGACTAACCAACAAGATGCCAGCCAAACCGCAGAATTCTGCAGGAAGGAGAAACCGGATTTAAAGTGAATTCATTCTCTAGTGTAATTAAATAGTTTTCTACTTCATCACACTAGAGAATGAATCCACTTTAAATCCGGTTTCTGCCTCCTGCAGAATTCTGGGTTTTGTAGTTTAGTGAGGCTGTTAAAGGCTTCTCCCTAAACTACACGCCCCAGAATTCCACAGGAGGCAGAAACTGGATTTAAAGTGGATTCATTCTCTAGTGTGATGAGGCCCAAAAGAATGTAGATTTAGGAATTATGTTTTGCAGCAGGCATCAAAGTTGGGATTGTTGGGCCCCTTTTCAGTCCAACATCCTAAGGAGGGGAGGGGGTCATTCTCCAGGGTATCAAACAGGATTCATCAAGAGTTTATTGCAATTAATATACATTTGGAAAATGTGCAGCAAGTACACAAATCTCTTACCCTTGCTCATTTGGTACTACAAGAAGATGGCTTTCCAGGCACGATCTCTCTAGATGCCAGGGTTCTTTGCATGATGAGCAGAATGTCAAGTAGCAAGACTGGCACTTTACAGGCACTGGTAATTCAGATGCATTGGGTTCAATTTGGCACACAGTCTGACAATCAGCAGAGGGGCACCAGGTTCTTAGTGGATCCAGATGCACTTCTGAAAAATGTTCATTTAAAAATCCAAACACATTTTAAGTTTTGTACTTGATCTGCCATTCCTCTCTAGTCATACTTAAACTTAGATAAGAATGCTCCATTCACACACAAAAATCAGTGTAGCCAAATTAGTACCTTCTAGGAAACAGAAAGTCAAAATCTTTGTTCATTTTCAAAAATAGAATTAAAAAATAGAATGATTTTCACTAAGACGTAAAAGCTGCACAGACAGATGGATACAAACCAATGTAAGATAATTGTAAATAAGAAAAACATACAAGTGAAGGCTCTAATCTAAGGATTAGATCACTTTCAAAAGTTACTGAGTATTTTCCTCAGAGCATCAAGAAAGAAGCATAATGGGATTTCTCTTTCTCCTCCCCTCTGATGCATTGCATCAGAATCCACCTGATTAATGCAAAATTTCTGGAGAAGTGCTGTTATAAAATTCACTTTAGTGAAGAGGCATTGGGGCATCATATAGGTTATTTTAAATCAATAAATTCTATATGTGATAAGTGTAAATACATTTAACAGTTCATTTTTAAAAACAGAACTGCAGTGGGTCTGAGCAAAGCTAAACCTTTTCCCTTGTACCAAAAAGACGAGATGTATGTAATTAAATCCATGTATTTTACAATTACCAATTCTAGTCCACAAGCTACAAGCAAAGCCATCTAAATCATATTCATCTTAAATTATCTGTCACATTATTTTATGGCCATGCTACTATGTTTCAAGCCACTAAACCACATGGTTCTTTGAAACACACACTACCAAAGAAAATAGATTTGGAAAGGGAAATCCATAGCTATGAACTATAATAATAATAATAATAATAATAATAACAACAACAACAACCATCATCATATTTATTTATATTCCTCTCTATCTCCCCAGAGGGATTCAGAGTGGATTCCAAAAATAAAAGGCAAACATTCAATGCCCAAATACAACAACAATACACCCATACAAACAAAATTTAACATATAAACACAAATTATGACTTAACAACTAAAATTAAATTAAAAAACACAACCTGTTAGACAAAGCTTGAATATTCTTACTGCATTTTGAAGACACATTTGCCTAGACTGCAACCTTTAAGTTAACTGGACTTAATCCTGTATAGGCAAATATATGATAGTGATTGTAGCCTGGGATGTCTTCCTAAATATTTTCTGTTTTCTTGCAATATTAATTTATATGGACATTAATTTATATTAATTTATATTTACTATGCTAACTTTTATAAGATAATATAAAAATATACCTCTTTCAAATTTCAGTCGCTGGTATAACTGAAATTGATCAGCAGGAACTAATCTGGAAATCTGAAACAAAGAACAAGACAAAAAAATAAAAATGAACAATTGGGAATTATCCAGTCTGAAATTCAGGTCCAATAAAATTTGTCATGATTCATTATTTACTCCTCACTCCATAAATTCCCTGTTATCTGGAAAACAAACAAAGCACATTTTATATATACTCATCAACTGTCCTAATTTGGCTGGGACAGTCCCAATTCATCCTCTGTCTCTTGATTTTAGCACCATTTAAAATGGTTACTATTACTTTCCTTCTTTCATCTCATCTTATTTCAATTGCTACAAATGGAGTTCAAAGTGCAAAAGTAGTTTGTTTGTACACTACTAACTGAGCAGGGGGAACAAACAAGAAAGGTGGAATCTTAGACTTCCCTGTAAACTCAAGCAAAATCAAACTGCTGCAGCATCTCCAAGATTGTGTGTCCTTCCTCTGTAATAACTTTTGCCATAATAACCACACTCTTGATATTATTCGGCCACACATATAACGGTTTTCATCTATGAAATGCTGGAGGGTATGAAACTGGCCTAAGCTGAAACTGGTTAGTATTTGTAAGAAGTTATTTCCAGAACATGAATTGATTACTAAAACAACAATGTGTAAGATCAGAAACTTGGGATACAAAAGTTTGCCCACATATGTCCAATTGCACCAATTTTTCTGAAACCCAACAAGACATATACAGAGAGAGATAAACATTCCCACTGACTACATCCTTTGTTATTAAAATTGTTACTGTATCTTATCTTTACTAAAAGTGCTTTTAAACAAAGTTGGATCATACTTTCTGCATGACTAATTTGGACCCTTTTCCAATACCCACATTCAACTGAGATTCAAGTAGAATCAGATACATATATATTGAGAAATGACAGCACCCACTAATTCTGGGTTGTTGTAGGTTTATTCATATTATATGTCCATGTTCTAGAGGCATTCTCTCCTGACATTTCGCCTGCATCTATGGCAAGCATCTCAGAGGTCACTACCTCTGAGGATGCTTGCTATAGATACAGGTGAAATGTCAGGAGAGAATGCCTCTAGAACATGGACATATAGCCTGCAAAAACCTACAACAACCCAGTGATTCCAGCCATGAAAGCCTTCGACAACCCACTAATTCTACTGCAGAGTGTGCAGATATTTACCATCACTGCATTGAAAGCTAGTTCCCCAAACAATTCATGTTGTGCAAGACCAGTCTCATATTTGCTGTAATTCTCAACTTTGCCGTCTTTGAATTAGTGTGGTAATTCTAAGGTATACACATTCCAGAATGTATTTCCATTCCAGAAGACAATGCCCCTAAAGCTAATAACAAAACATTCAGGAAAGATCTATAAGAATAATAAGAGGTCAAGAAGGCAAGTCATTGTGGAGAAACAATTATAAGAATGTGTTTGTTTATTCACAAGAAGTGGCAGGGAAATCCCAGTCTTTCAAATAGTTTAAGACAATAACAAAAAAAGAAAGGAACACATGTCATTTAGGTATAGTGTGTTTAGCATCATCATAGATGCTGAACAAATAATTTGTGTGATCTATGAATCTCGGTTTATAAGTAAGTAGCTTGGGAAAACAATGAACATTGAAAGCACATCACTGAGCAAAGAGCACATAACACATAGAACATAGAACATGGAAAGAGGCTTGGCACAGGGTGCATCACTACGATTTCTAAAGAAAATCCACATACCAATGGACATCTGGTGTTCCAACATAATGGTGTCAGATACGTGAGAGTCCAAGACTCAGCAGGCCAACAGATGAAATTGCCAGGCAGCAAACTAACCAATAAATATGTATGTAAATGTGTCTGCAAGATATCAGCATTTTTGAAATTTTATATATCCTGGTGCAATCTCCCATCCATTACTGCTTAACTATTTACTCTCCTCTGTCCTCAGTTCATTCCTTCTAGGGAGACCTTTTTCTTCTCCAGATATGAGGCACAAACACACACTTGATCCAAAACCCAACTTGATAGTGGAGACAGGTCCCTGGTCCAAGCGGTTCCTGGTCAAAATGGTCCATAGTCAAAGTGGTCCCTAGTCAAGTAGTCCCTGGTCAAAAAAAGGTTGGGAACCACTGGTCTAGAGAAATGGGGGTAAGAAGTCATGCCTGTTTCAATATGACCAGACTATCTTGTAATAATTGCCATCATTATGTAACTACAATCTCTCAAAACAGTCCGATTAGCATACAGTAGCAGATAGTTATTATTCCAGAATAAACTATTTCTCTGTGTAAAGACAATGTATCTCCAATAAATTATCTTGAGAAAGTGGACATCTTTAGTATTTTCCTTAGATATTAATCACTTGGACTCTAATCCTGCCATCACAGAAACAAGAACATAAGGGCACATGAGGCCATCCTGGGTTGCAATGAAAAACTATTCGGAGTAATCTTCCAGAAGTATAGAGGTTGCCATATGAGAGCTGGAGATTGGCAGGGTACAAGGTGGAGGGGACACACAGCCTCTTTCTTAGAAAATAAGCTTTCCTTTTTAACAAAAGGATATGACTCAGTCTCTCTAAAAATTATATTATTTCAAAAGGCAGATAATTGGGTTGCTTACTTGAAGAAAATAACAACTTGACATTAAAACAACACAACACAGTTGATATCAAGATTGGAGAATTCTGTAAATGTCTGAGGGAGGAGGAATAGAGGAAGGAAAAAAGATCTGATGACATTCTTTCAAACTTTAGGAAGCATTCTTGGGAGATTACTGGCAATTTTGCTTTTAGTTTCAAAGACAAATTTTTAAAAAAATTGTGTGTGTGTTTTAAGGCAGATGCTAGTTTTTTCAGCATGTGGAAATGAGTCCCTTCAGGGAGATCAGGCAGAATATAAATATATTATTATTATTATTATTATTATTATTATTATTATTATTATTATTATTATGGTACCTCCAGAGAAAATTTCCCTAATCTCATGTCATTCATAGGTGTCAGACCACTGTTTCTTAAACTGCATGTCCCATCCCCAAATGGGGTACCCTTAGCTCAATGTTGGAGTCACGAAACATTTAGCAGCAATAAAAGGTTTTTGGATACCACCCATTTAAATAAACCTCTTAGAGGTGTTTACAGTGGACTCTACAGAAAATATTTCAGCTGTACTTCATAAAAAGCCTATTTAGTATGCCTTGCAAATGCTTATTTATTCTCAGTAAAATGGAAAATGCAATGCCATGGACAATCCCAACTTTAGTATTCAATCTTGAGACTTCAGGATCTTTTCTAGCTTCTTCAAAGCTACCCTTCCAAATCCTGGTCATCTTCTGGTTTCCTGACTGCAATATCATTCTGATTAATGACTGAGCCAATGTATGGAAAAATCTTGAATTATTTTACTGTTTTCATTATCTACTTTAAAGTTAATGCACTGAGATAGCAATATGAGGTTTAAAATATTAGAGTCCCCTCATACTGATCAATTTTACTTTCTCAGTTTTGAATGTAAAAACAAATTATTAGTTCTAACACACAAGAGTTAAACAATTTTAGTCCCCCTGTTCCCACCCTTCTCTGAACAATACTTGCTTCCTTCCTTTGAAACAAATAGTGAGTGCCTTTCTTTATTTAAAGAGCTAATGAGCCAGAAAAAAACTGTTCTGGACAAAAAAAAATGCCCAGTCACATTTATCTACACTTTGATAATTTGTTTATTTCAGTCACAGTAACATTTATAACCTGCTTCTCCACCAAATTATTATTAATAATAATAATAATAATAATAAATTATTTATACCCCGCCCCCTCTCCCTGAAGGAACTCAGGGCAGCTTACAGCAAGCAACAATCACAAAAAATATATAGGCAATACATAATAAACAGCAATAACAATAAGCAATTATCGTATTATTAAAGTTTAAAATACCATAAGAATTAAAATAACAATTTAAAAGCTATTTGCCCTCTAAAAACAATGTGCGTGTGTCACCGTTTAAACTAGACATTCCTATTGTCAAGTTATCCAGCAGTTATAATTTACAATCTCATGGTCATTCCGAATCTTGCTTGAAAGTTTCCAATACAGTCTAGCCACTGGCAAAGGCTTAAATAGCCAAGTTTTAACTCCTTCCTGAAGATTAACAGGTGGGTGCTTGTCTTATTTCCGTGGAGAACATTGCAGAGTCGGGGGGCCACTATCGAGAAGGCCCTCTCCCTCGCCCCCACCAACCTCGCTTGTGAGAGAGGTGGGATCAAGAGGAGGGCCTCCCCAGCTGATCTTAAAGTCCAGCCAGGCTCATAGGGAGAGATGCGGTCATGTAAATAGGCAGGACCCGAGGTGTATAGGGCTTTGTAGGTAATAACCTGTACTTTGATTTGGGCTCAGAAACCCAGCCTGTAAGCAGTCTGGCTGCAGATCTTTCTACTAATAGAACCTTCCAGATCGTCTTCAGAGGCAGCCCCATGTAGAGTGCTTTGAAAATAATCCATATGAGATATAAGGCGTGAACCACCATGACCAAGTCTGGCTTTTCGAGGTAGGGTTGGAGCTGGCGCACAAGTTGTACATAGGCCCTCCTGGCCACTGCCAACATGTGAACTTCAAGCATCAGCGCTGAGTCCAGGAGGACCCCCAGATTGTGGACCTGTGTCATCGGGGGAGTATAACCCCATCGAGCACAGGTTGCCACCCTATACCCTGATCAGCTTTGCAACAGACCAAGAGGACCTCTGTCTTGTCTGGATTAAGCATCAGTTTGTTAGCCCTCATCCAGCTTTCAGATAAAGCAGCTAATGTGTACAAAACAAAACAATGATCCAATGATTAACTAAAATATTAATATTCCAACAAAAAGTAAATTCAAACATTGGTAACGCAAAAAGGTTGCAGCTTTGTGAGGGGGAAAAAGGCAATTTAAAATGTCAGCAGAATGTAAGCAAAGTGGAAGCTAATTCAACTTTGCCAGAGAAAGCCTGTCATGTCCTTTAAAGTAAGAATGTTAGTGTCTAAGTTGGTGTCTCGTTTTCGGTAAGTAGGGTATAAGAAAGCCACATCAAGAACTAAGCTACTTTACCGACATCATGAAAAATGTTTTCCAGTTACTTTTCAAAATTGTCTTTTAATTGGGTTTTAGAGACATTTTGAAGGAATGTTTCTATTCCATTCTCTTATCAGTCATATGGTTGTTGTTTTAATTTAGAAAAAAGGAAGTGTAATAGTGTTAGTTCTTAACACTGCCATGAGAATGGCACTGCTTTGTAAAAAATTGAAGTGTAACAGGGGTAATGGAAATATAATGAGTAAGGTAATGAGAATTACCCCCATACAGAAAAAAAACTTTCCTGGGCTCTTGAAATAATCTGCACTTAGTCTTCATTCTTCCACCCATTATTTACCTCTTCAGTTCTTTACACAGATATTAGCTTGTGAATTCATCTTTCTGAATTCTGTATATTGTAGTGATAACTAAAATTGCCTTGCAAAGTGACTTAGCTATTTAACCCTCTGACTCAAAAATCACTAATGGCAACATATCTTTTTTTATTTCACAATAATTTTTTCAAGCCATTCCATTTGCCATGTTATGCCGACAGATAATTCACCTAATCCACATCGTAAATATTTAAGTGCCCGTAATACCACTCTGCTAAGTAATGGAAGATTGCTATTGACACTATCGTGTCAAAGAACACATTTCAATAAATCAAGAGCCAAGATTTAATTTGCTTTCCCTCTTATGCTATCATCACTACTTTTGCTTTGTACTGAATGTCAGATTATTAGTACTCCTACCCTAATAAAAGACTGCATTACTTTCATCATAAAATATTCATTTGTTCCATTAAAGAGCTCCCTCACCATTTACAATGATGCTTTATAGGTATATTAGAAACAACAAGGTCTGTGGAAAGGAGTGAAATAATTGGATATTTGAAAGCAAACATCTTCAGGCTACATTTCTCATTTTTTGATACCAATTACACAAACAAAACCAGAAAATAGAATAGAATTTAATAATGAGGATGCCCCGTGAGAGAAACTGTGGGTCCAAGATGGAGATCTGTCTTTTCTGGACAATGATATTGAACTCAAGAAAAAACAGATGTCTGTATTACTAGATCTTATTTGGGACCCAGAATAAATTCATCTCTTAAGTCAATTTACTCTTTGGAGATCAGCTCCTCCCATATGATCCATTACGGAAAATGGGATATTTAGACAGAATTAGAAACATAATGTCCACATGCTGCACATCCCCTGGGGTTTTTTTTGGGGGGGGGTGCTCCTCAGCCATCATCATATCTGGTCGCATCACAAAAATGAGAGGCGTTTTTTAAACAATGAAAATACAAATGTTCATTGTAAATCAGGGGATGTGAAAAGTATAGCTTCTCAGAACTGGTCCCAGCCTTTGGCATGCCTTTTTGTGGGAGTCCAAGTTAGCTCCAACCCACTTGTTCTTCTGCTAGCAAGCAAAATCTTTTATTTGGGTGGACTATGGGAAATTGATTTTTACTTAGTGCACTTTTTTCTGTACTTTGAATTGTGACTAATCCATTCTGAAGGCCAACTGTATTCAAAGGTTTATGCCACTCAAAATTATGTAACTCGAATCATCCCAATGACAAGAAATGTGCCAAATCAACTATTGAATGAGAAATTGTTTTGTAAATTCTTTGGATTCAGCAGGATCAACAACTGGCAATTGGGCTTAGTTCTCAAAGGTACCAAATAACAACAACAACAATTGTGGTTTTACTATTGTAATTGTTTGTATTCTCATCGTGATTTACTCACATTTGAATGTTTTCTAACTGCTAGGGCTAACAGCAGGACCTTGCCCCATCCTACAGATTCAAACTGCCAAACTTCAGGTCAGCAAGTTTAGCAGCAGGATGGTTTAATCCGTCGTGCCACTGCAGCTCCCAATGATATATGATGGCCAAACGTTTGCCATCATATGTCATTTCATCTAGAAGGTAATCATACTTCATTCGGAAGTCTCACAGCAACAAGATGGCTAGGGTGCCTACACATATGCATCCAGAGATGTACAGGTAAATTCCAATGCATCCATCCACTAAGCTATTTCTTCTCAATTTGTGTTCACACACACTGGCCTGCTTCCAAGTTAGAAGTCAGTGATATGTAAAACCTCCTCCAATTTGTGTTTTATAACCCTGAATGCCATCCATATTCCAACAATCATTGCTAAAGGAGGGCTGGTGACATTCATATGGGCAAATTCTTGCTTTTGAGTAGGCAATTTAGAGATTGCCTGGATGCCAAGTAAACATTTCCCCAGGAAAGGAAAAACAAGGGAGAAGCCATCTGCTTCTTTCTTATTTCTCCTGTCAAGTGGGCCTCCTGCCAAGTAGTCATTACAGTAATTAAGGGGAGGAAACAGTCTAATATATTCATTATGTAACTGAACAAAGACAATTGAAAAAAAGAAAGGGGATGACAAGTGTAGATACCTCAGTTTCTTGCAGAGTCCCCCGGCTTAAGCACACCATGTCTGGACAAGTGATAGGAGAACCACAACCTTCCCGAATGGCTAACTGCATATATTGTTTTAGGCACTGAAAATAGAGGAAAAGGATATAGATAAGTTACAAACAATATTCAACTAATAGAAACCATTCCAGTAGCTGATCTTTACCATGTACCTTCACTTCTTCAAATAGCTGTGCTGCAATGTTCATGCTCCAAGAAACTTAACTGTGACTGCAAAGTAAAGATTATTTTGAGGACTCAATGTAGACATGTTGAGGACTCAATATAGACATGTGCAATGTGGATGAAGGCATTCTCCATATGTTTACTTTTCACAAGGCAGAAAATCAAATCCTTCTATGTTATTTTTCCCATAACTATGAAAAACATCAGATTACATGTTGTTGTTTTTCTCTACTTAGAATGAGGTTTTGGTTTTCTAGTCCCCCTTTGTGTGTTACTAATTTTGTACCTCTCAAATGATGACTAGGAGCAAATTGCATCTGTTTGCTGCAAGGACACACTGCTTAGAAAGCTGCTACGTAAGCAGTTACTGTATGTGGATTATCAGAAAAATCCTTGTGTTGAGACTATGAATGTCAGTAGCCCAGAAAAAGAGGATATGTAGTTCCATGAATCTGCACTGAGGGTAATGTAAATATTAAACATTTCCACATTATTTAACTACCAACAACCTGGAATATTAGCATTGGAAAAACACAAAACCAAACCCTGATCATTTTGCAAGGTAGTCAAATATGATTTTTCACTAGTGAATAGAAGAACACAATTTACCTCTGCAATGACAATGTTCTAAAGGCCATTAAAGGGAAAACACCAAAAGCAACTCAGATATAAATTCAGACAAAAATGCCAAGACAAAAGTCATGCCATTCAAAATGAGACAGTAGATTGCTGCCTCCTCATTAATTGTTACAATTAGAGCATGGGAAAATTACTTTTTTAGAGAACAACTCCTAGAATCTGCTAGTCAACATAGCCAGTGCCCATGTTGACTGGGGAGATACTAGGAATTGTAGCGCAAAACAATTGAAATTTCTCAAGCTCTGTCCAAAACCATGCAAAGGCCTTCCATAACTGTTCTTGTATATTCAGCCTCTAGGGACCTTATCAGATGCAGAGAGAAGAGTGTTTTCTCCCCGCTTTTCTCTGCTGACGGAACGGAGTCCCACAGAGCTCATCACATCATGCAGCCTACTTCTGATAGGACTCTGTGAGGTTTCATTGAGGCAGCAGAGAGAAATGGGGTCCAGTTGGTCAGGTGTTTATCCAACTCCTCATTGAATAAGGGGAGAGGAGGCGAAGAAGAAGCGGGGGAAGATGAGAAAATGACATGGGAAGAAAGAAGGCGGACCCCGACAGGAAGAAACAAAGCCTGACAGTTCCCCTCACTTTACCCCTGCCCATCTAATAAGGTCCTAGCACTCAGTTCTTTTCAGAACAGAGAAAACCTTGATTGGTTTCTGTTGCACTCTAGGCCAGGAATCCCTCAAACACCACACAGCTGAGTAAAATAGCAAGCAGTTTATTGAAGAATTAAACAAAGTAGTGGTAAAAAAAAATCCACATTAAAAGGCAAATCCAAATAGATAGAAAAGGTAGATAGGAACAGAAAATCCAGGAAACAAATACTGGAACTTCCAAGGCAAAAACCCCAAAGTACTTAAACATGAATCAAACTAAGGACTTCAACATAAATAACAAGACACTTAATACAGGAATGAATGCAAAGCAAGGCATCCAGAAACCTAAGATGAGATCTTGTCCTAATTCCAACGTTGCTTCATCTGGCTACAGATTCTGTACTTGACACTTTTATCCCACTATTTCTACAACTGAGTTTCCCACGCGGCCAAGAACGGATTCTTTCTCAGCCTTGAATTGCCTACCAGTCTCTGTTGTAATCTGGCAGAGCACCTGAGAGCCTGGTTTGTTTGTCATTGCTGACTGAAAGTATTTCTTCTGTTCAGAGGCTCATTAACTCCTGCACCTGGACGAGGCTCAAGGCCTTGAGAATCTTTTTGTAACAATTCAGCCCAGGAAACAGACCATCATTCCCAATCCCTTCAGGAACATTCCCATCAGAAGTGTCACTTTGAACATAAACCACATTGTCATTCCCTGCATCCACAGCAGCCTGATCATCAGACACATGAACCTCACTGTCACTCCCATCATCCAAAGTACCCTGATCATTAGACACAGTCACAGGCTGAACTCCAACAGTTTCATCAACTGTATAAGGTGGTAGCTGCTGACCACCAACAAGAGTAATGAGAAGGAAGGATCGCTACTTCTAAGAACCAGGTGTAAGAAGAAAAGAGCAACTTTTTCAAATTTGTTCATGGACGTTTTCCATCCCCCCCCCCCCCGCCCATACACACACAAACACATCCAAAAATACTGTGTTCATTTTCTATCCCACTGAACCCTAAAGAAGAAAAGAGCCTTTTCTTCTCTAGATAAAAATCAATTTCTCATATGACTTGTTTTTCAAACCTCTCATCATTCTGGTTGTTCATTGCATGTAGACCTGTGGTTTCCAATCTTTGGTCCTCCAGGGGTTTTGGACCAGCTTCCAAAAGCCCCATTTGACTTAATCAACATTCAGGAATTCCACAATATATGGAGGACTAATATTTGAGGACCTTGGGTGTACACGATTTAACAGACTTAAAATGTGGTTCCCAGAGGGTTGTGATTCAAAAACATCTGGAGAGTTACACAATTCAAACCTTTGCACTAATATTTATTTCATTTTGCAGAGTTCTAAGGCTTCGATATCCCTTTGAACTGCCAAAGCTCCATCCTACAATATCCTAGGATTTGCTGTTTGGCAAAACACTACAGATCTTTGGCAGAGAATTCACACACAAAACTGCAAATTGCAGGATTCCACTAATTCAAAGTGCTATAACTGTGTAGTGTGAAAAGAGACTAGAGTCACCTGGGCCTATCCTTGTGGATTTTTCTTTAGCCCATCACTATCCAACAAGTGGGGCTAAATCAAAGCAGTTGAGCTCTGTAGCAAAACTAGCAAGCAAAAAGGGGAAACTTGCATGTAGTTATTATCAAAGATAATGTGGATTTGTGTTTTCTGAACTGAATATCTAATGGCTTATTGGGGAATTCTGTCTCCAGTTTGAGCATTTCTTTTCTCTGTTATCTTTTAAGCTGTTACCAAGCTGACAACTGTAATTGGATTGTGTGGAATACTAAAATGGCAAATGTTCCCTGAATAAACATTGCTTAGAAAACTATCATAAGATCGCCATGATTTGGGATTTTATGTGAAGACACATTAACAACTACTGAGCTATTCTTACCAGTCTGCTACCAGGATACTAAGTACATAATAACAAATGGAACATCAACAAGAATATTTTAGAAGCTCTTATGTCAAGGAATGCAGTCATCATACTGTGAGTGTTCCCACAAGGGGTATTTACAACATATGCTAAACACTAAAAAAAGTACTTTCACTCAAAATATGAGAGTTCTACTCTGTAAGATATAAACCTCTAGAGACCTCATCACACTTGCCTTTTTTAGCATCCTAGGACACTAAAGGGACAGTCCAGCGATGGATGGGCATGCTGCCTATCACACAACGTCACTGGACATCCTGTTGAAGCCCTGCCCCCAACTGAAGTGGAAGTTAGACCCTTCCTTCCTAAGATGGGATGGCTCCTGTGTTGTGCTGACTCCAGCGGAGCCAGCACACTTCAGTGCTGCTTCGGTGCCACTTTCCCCCATGTGAAGGGGGAAGTGGCGCTGCTCAGGAGCAGCACGTGGGACAACAGAGTCTGGCGAAACAGAGTCTGGTGAAATGGAGTCTGGCCGAAACAGCACGGGCGGGGGGTCATCTGTGTAATGAGGTCATAAGTCAGAATTCCACAAATTAGCTATATTCAACTAAAGCAACCTGATCTCCAGCCATCCACAATCTCTTCCCATGCTACTTTTGTGAAATTTGAAATTTGAAATGAAATATCACCTTTGTACTATAGCACTTGCTGTTCTTATTATGTGCATTCAAGCTATTTCTAATTTATGGTGACCTAAGGTGATCCTATCAGAGAGTTTTCTTGACAGGATTTGTTCAGAGAGGGACTTCCCTTGCTTTCTGAGGTTGACTTGCCCAATGTTACCCAATGGGTTTCTGTGGCTGGGGGAGGGGGACGTTGAGCCCTGGTGTACTAGCATCCTAGTCCAATGATCAAGACACTAGTTCTCACTATAGCACTACAACTAAATACAGTGGAGAGAATATTGCAATTATTAAATTTGCTATGGTATGTTAAAGAATAACAGTGGTTTTCTGTGGTTATTTCCAGCAGCTGGTCTGGCTTTGTAACCTGTAATTTGCCATTTGGAAAAAAAGTTTTCAGTATTTACTGGAAAGGATGCTTAATGGAAATTTAATCACTTTGCCATCTAGGCATATGTCTCCATTTGTGGTCTGTAACACAAAAGAAATTAAATGAATTTCTACAGTTAAACACTAAAGTTAAACACTGCTAACACTAATCTGGTCACATCCCGCCTTGACTACTGCAACGCTCTCTACGTGGGGCTGCCCTTGAAGACGGCCCGGAAGCTCCAGCTAGTCCAGCGCGCGGCAGCCATGTTACTAACAGGAGCGGGACGCAGGGAGCATACAACGCCCTTGCTGTTCCAGCTCCACTGGCTGCCGATTTGCTACCGGGCCCAATTTAAGGTGCTGGTGTTATCCTACAAAGCCCTAAACGGTTCCGGCCCAAAATACCTTTCTGACCGCATCTCGGCCTATGAGCCCACGAGGACCTTGAGATCGTCTGGGGAGGCCCTTCTCTCGATCCCGCCTGCCTCACAGGCACGTCTGGTGGGGACGAGAGATAGGGCCTTCTCGGTGGTGGCCCCCCGGCTGTGGAACACCCTCCCTGTAGACATCAGACAGGCGCCCTCCCTTATGACATTCCGCAAGAGACTAAAGACGTGGTTGTTTGAGAAGGCGTTTGACTAAGTGCTACAACAATTGGCAATGATGATTGGAACGGAATATGGATAACGAGATTGGTTTGTG